CCCCACCAGGAACCTCAGCCCCCCATTCATGGCCCCACCCAGGCTGTCACAGCACTCCAGCTGGAGCTCCAGCACCCCAGGTCCCCAGCCCTATGACAGGGTCTTGGGACAGAGTGGCTCTCAGCAGGGCCCCAGCAGCGCAGACCTGGGAGGCTTAACATTTCAGAATGCTTCCTGAAGCTGTAGGTGGCTCTCCCTCCGGGAATCTGGAAAAGTGCTTAGAAGCATTTTGAAAACCAGCCTTGGGGAGGAGGCCAGGGCCGAGGCTCGTGGTCCTGCAGCAGGTCTGGGGGTCTGGCTCTCAGAGGCGCCAGCCTCCCCAGCAGCTGGGGGTCCCTGACTGCTGTGCCTGCAGACCTGCTGCAGGACAGGCCCCAGGGCTGTGCCCCCAGGCCCCCTGACTCCCTCTCTGGCTGGCCTGCCCAGGGGCTCCTTCCCCATTCTCCACAGGTGACCCCTGCAGAGCCCAGGGGCCTCCCAGACTGAGAGCCAGAGGCACGGGGCAGAGCTGGGGACAGGGCGAGGCCTGGGCTAGGAGAGCCCCTTCATGCTGGCCTCTGAGAGGGCCATGGCGGGGGTCAGCGTGGCATGAGGTAAAGCCGGGCCCAGGGGCTTGGGGCCCCTGGAGCCTTGGCCTGGGACTGGGGCTGAGCCCTCTCTGAGGAGGCCCGTCTTGCAGGAGCTGCAGCCTTTCCCAGGTGAACGCACTCCTGCGGGCACAGCTGCAGCACATGAAGGAGGYCAACAGCCAGCTGGCCCGGGAGCTGGCCAACACCACCGGCGGCATGTTCCGCCTGCAGCGTGAGCTGGAGCACAGGGAGGTGCGGCTGGGCACCAGAGGGGTCCTACCTGGGTGGACACACCAGAGGGGTCCACCACTGTGCATGCTGCCGGTGGGTGGGTCACGGACCAGGGAGGGTACAGCGACTTCACCAGGTCCCTCCTGGGGCCAGGGCTCATCCTGGGCTGGGTCACAGTGGTCAGTGGAGTGGGGACACCCCAGCCCCTCTCCTTTTGGGGGAAGACCCAGCCCCTGAGGACTGAGGAGCTGTGCAAGTCTGGCTGCAGGGCAGAGCCCTGGAAGGGGCCTGGCTGGGCCCCGCGGCTCCCTGCAACTGCCCGTCCACAGTATTCGCCTGCGGGGATGACCCCTCCCTGGCCTGGACCCAGGTGTGCAGCCTTGGCCAGCGGGCTCTCTGTAGCTGAGAAGGCTCTGAGGGGCTGAAGGTGCCCACGGCCCTCAGCGAGAGGGTCTGATGCAGGCCCATGGCCCTACACACCGTGGGCAAGATCTCTCCGTAACCCACCTGAAGAGATGCTCTCTCCAGGTGGAGACGGAAGCAGGGGGTGGCTGCCCGGGTCTGGGCCTCAGGCAGAAAGACCAGCTGTGGGCGTAAAGCCAGCAGGCAGGGCTGGACTTGGCCATGCAGGCCCCCATAGCTGTTGCTCCTGTCCACAGCAGCCGTGGACCCTCTGCCACCACCCCAGGTGGAAGGAGGGTGCCCTGTCTCGTAGGGTGTCCCCAGGAGCTGCATCTGCCACCACAGGGATCTCTAATAGCAGGACTGTGACACAGCACTGCTGAGACTGCTCCCCCATCACCGGTCCTGGGGTGCAGCGGGTGGTCCCACGGCACCCACACAGTTTCCTCCTGTGAGCGGGGTGCCTGGGAGGGGCTCCCGAGTTCACTCTGGCCTTTGCTCCTGGGGAGGGGTCTGGGAGGGTCCTCCCTGCCCTGGGAAGGCGCCTCCTCCGCCCCTGCCCTGCCAGAGGGGGTGGACCCTCCCCCTGGAGCTCCAGGGGGCTCGGCCTGGCCTGGCCGTGTGCAGCTGCCCGAGGGTCTCTGTGGACTTGCTCTTGCTCGTCCTGCTCGAGCTCATGGGGCTCCTGGGCCTTCGCTGTGTGGGGAAGGAGTCACCACCAGGCCCAGCCCTCTGCCCCCACCCAGTGGAAGGCCCCCTCCTGGTGGCCAGAACGGCGGGGCGCTCCTGGAGCCTGCACCGTCAGGCTGCTCCTGCTCTGGGCTCTGACCGGGCACATCGCCCGCATGAATCCCAGCCCCGCAGGCTTCTCCTTGACTCCTTCCCACGCATCCCGCTGGCCACGCGTCCACCTCCTGGCTCGTGGGTGCGTGTGAGAAACAGTTATCTTGTGGTCCAGTGTCCACCATTTCCAAGACCTGAGTTGACCGCTTCTCCTGGGTCCACGTCACGGTGCCCCGCCTCCTTCTGTTTGGGGGACCTTTTATCATTTGTAGATATACACACTTAGTTGTAGATGGACCTGACATCTTCATTTATTTATTTTTATGTGGTGCTGAGCATGGAACCCAGTGCCYCATGCATGTGAGGCAAGTGCTCTGCCACTGAGCCACAGCCACAGCCGGTTTTTATTTTTTAACTCATTTTTTAGCTGTTTATTTCCTGTGGAACTTTGTGGAACCTCTTGGGGAGCTGGGGAAAGGCAATATCTTCCAGGAGGAATTCCATCTGCTTCTGATGGTGCTGGGGCCACGCCTGGGAAACGCTCGCTCTGGCCTGCAGGAGCCCAGGGGTGTCGCCTGCACCTCCACAGCSTGTCTTCTTGCCTCCAGATGCTGCACAGCAGCTTCTCCTGTGGGCACACGTGTGTGCACGTGGGCATGGTATGTGAGTGTGTGAGCGTGTGTGTGTGAGGGAGTGCCTGTGAGTGCCTGTGTGCACATAGTGTGTGTGGGTGTGTGAGTGTGTGTGTGAATGTGTGTGTGTGTGGTGTACGTGGGTGTGTGGGTGTGTGAGTGTGTGTGTGGGGTGTACGTGGGTGTGTGTGAATGCGTGTGTGGATATGTGTGTGTGTGTGTGAGTGTGTGTGTGGTGTACGTGGGTGTGTGTGAATGCATGTGTGGGGTGTACGTGGGTGTGTGTGGATGTGTGTGTGGGTGTGTGTGAATGCGTGTGTGGATGTGTGTGTGTGTGAGTGTGTGTGTGTGGTGTGTGTGTGTGTGTGGTGTATGTGTGTGTGTGGTGTATGTGTGTGTGTGTGAGAGTGTGCGTGGTGTACGTGGGTGTGTGTGGGTGTGCGTGTGGCCTGGGAGTGTGGCGTGCGTGCGTGGCTTGAAGCTGCAGCTCACCCTCTAGCCCACCCGCCCTGCTGCACTGGGGACACTACGCAGGATGTGCCTGGGTTTGGCTCAGCCTCAGGGCCCTTGGGTCAAGGAACAAGTTTCTCTGTTTGGCAAGAAATTGCCTCATTGGCTCCAGACCCCACTAGGTCCGCCTGAGGCTTCACCCTGGTTCTCCAAGAGGTACCACAAAGTTCCACGGGAAAGAAACAGCTAGAAAATGAATTAAAAAATAAAAAATCACCCCAAACAGAAGGAGACAAAGCATCGTGATGTGGACCCAGGAGAAGCTGTCAACTCAGGTCTGCCTGATCGCACGCCTCTGCTGYTCTAGAACCTTCAATAGCTCCCACTGTGGCCGGCCAGCCTGCCCAGGGAGAGGGGCTGGGTCTGCAGACTTGGGCTCCGTGGGGTGGTGCAGAGAAGATGTCTCTTCCCGCCCTGGATGGTCACTCCAGAGGTGGGGTGTGCCTGGCCCCAGTGAGCTCCCCGCTGTGGCCCGGCACACTACACTGAGGGTGTGTGAAGGGTCCTGGGCTCGCCAGGGGAGAGGCTCAGATGCGGGGTCCAGCCAGGGGTGGCGTGGCCTCCTGAGAGCTGGCTGAGGAGTGCTGGGTGGGGCCGAACCAGCAGGACAGGCCATGAGACCAGGAAAGCCCTGGGCCTGAGGACCCTGTGGGTTCCAGCGGCCATCTGGCCAGAGGCAGCAGAGTGCAGGATGCAGAGGTGGTGGGACTGCACTCCGCGAGGCTGGACCTCTGGGTGCACACGGCCCTGCAGGGGCCTGCTCCCCACGTCCTCCCTGACTCGTCCTGCCCAGCCCCAGCCCCAGCTGTCCCTGCCGGGGTGCAGCCAGCCCACCCTGTCCCCTGCACTCTGGGGCGCTGGGCCTACCCTGACATCCACAGAGCCCCTCGGGTAGGAGCCGCGACCTGGGATGACAGGGGAGGGGCAGCYCCCCCTCAGGGCTGTGCAGGTCTGAGTGCAGCATGTGGGGCCTGCTCCCCCGCCCCTGGACCCCTCCCTGGGATGCCCTGGGAGGACACGGGCGTCTTCCTCTTCCGTAGGACCTAGCGTTGTCCCCAGGGTGGGTGGGGAGCTCAGAACTTATTTGCCTGTGGGACACGGGGACCTTGGGACCTGGTAGGTGATACAAGTCCCACTTGCAGCCTCCCCAGAGCCAGCTTAGCAGGACCCCTAGAGAGTAGTGAGCAGGGGCCAGTGGCCCCCATCTGCAGTGGACATGGGCCTCTTGCTTGCAGACCCAGCGGATGGGCCCTGGGCAGCCATGGCAGCTCCTCCTCCTGTGGAGACAGGTCTCAGAGCTCAGGGGACACGTGGCCCAGTTGCGGGTGGCCACGGAGAGGTAAGTGCATCTGTGCCCAGGCCACTCCTGAGCAGGGGACAGGGGCACCCTGTCAGGGCCCTGGCTGGACAGGCGGAGGGGGAAGTGGGGGAGGGTGAATAAGGGGGAGGGGGGAGCAGGTGGCCTGGCTGCAGGAGGACTCCCACTGCAGAGCTTCTGGGTCTGGCCAGTTCTTGCTGGTGCCCCACGAGAGCCTGTCCCAGGCCACCCTGATGGCCCTCGAGGTACTTCTCAGCCCTGCTGGCCCTGCCCTGGCTATGAGCTTGCTGTCCTGCCRTTGTGGGGCCCCCCAGGACGGCCAGCGGCCATGTGACCCGGCTGCACACCTCCTGGCCCAGAGCCTGCCCCGGTCCTGAGGCTCCTCGACGGCATGGCCTTTTCTCCAGGGCTCTCGCGGACATGCAGGCCCAGGCTGCCTGGACAGCCCAGCGTCTGCACGCCGCCTGCCACAGCCTCGACTCCCACCTGCGACCGGCCGCCAGCAGCCCGACCAGCGCCCTAGAGCAGCGGCTGCGGGACCAGGTCAGGGAGATGCTGCAGCTGCAGGGCCGCTGGGATGCGGAGAAGGCGGAGCTGCAGGCCAGGTGAGCCAGGAAGGACACCCACATCTCCTCCGCTTGCCAGGGTGTGGCCTTGAAGGCTGGCTCAGGGTCTGTGCTTCACTCCTGAGACCATGGGAGCCATTGAAGGTTCTAGAGCAGGAGAGGCATGAGATCAGCAGAGGTGTGGCCCTGGCACCACAGGGAGGCCCCACTGCAGCAGGAATCTGGACAAAACCAGGCCGTCCCCAGGCCCCTCACTTACCCCCAGCTCCTCCCCAGACTCTCGGAGCAGACACTGCTGGTGGACAAGCTCACACAGCAGAATGGGTCACGGGAAAGGACCGTGGACTCCCGCAGGACCGAYGGCCAGAGACCGGTGCGTGGGCTGGAAATGGGAGCTGGGCTGGAGGCCAGCTGTCTGCCTGGCTAAGGGTCTCTCCCTGCAGGAGTCCCAGCGCGACAGGGACGGGGGCCAGCTGGCCCTGGACACCCTGAGGGACGAGGTGGGATCCCTGCAGCGGGTGCTGGCCAGCATCACAGAGGTGCGCCCATCCTGAGCCCTGGTGGTACAGGGACTGCGGGAGGCCCACTTCCTCACAGCCCGCRTCTCCCCGCCCCTTCCCCTCTCACCCTGAAGGTGGCTCTGGGGGACTCCGGGAGCCTGGAGCTGGCAGGGGGCAGCAGCACTGATGGCCAGGAGGCGCGGAGCCAGCTGAGCAGCCGCCCACGGGCCACGTCCCCCCGCCAGGCTGCGTCCTCCCCACGGGCCCACTCCCCAGCCCACCTGGACCCAGCACTGCGGGCCGTGCAGACAGCCCTTGAGAGACGGCAGCATCGGGAGCAGGTGGGTGGCTGTGGTCCCTGGGGCCGTGGAGGCAGAGCTGCGCCGTGTCTCCCTCAGCTTGGGGAGGTCAGCTCAGGCCACCCCTCCACTGCCCTGGTGAGCCCGGGCCCCACAGAGCCAGGGAGGGCTCTGGTTCTAGGTTCCTTCTGGAGCAGTGGGAGCCCGGGGCCTCTCGGCTCACAGGGTGCCTGCCCGGCAGGAGCTGCATCTGCAGCTACAGTCCTCCCAGGAGGCCACGGCCAGACTCCAGGAGCAGCTGTCCACGTGCCAGCAGGAGCTTCGGGCCTCGCAGAGGCTCTTGCAGAGCAGGACTCGGGAACACGAGGCCCTCCTGGGCAAGCTGGAGGCCCAGAGGCGTGAGGCCAGGCACTGCCAGAGGACGGCAGAGCTCTTGGGAAGGTAGCAGGAAGCGGGCATCGCAGGGGCAGCAGGGCTGGCTCTGAGAGCCCACACTGCGTGCAGGAGGCCGAGCCTCCCGACTGAACCTCCAGGTCACCCCTGCCCTGTGTCCCGTCCTACTGTACACAGGGGATCCCAGTGCGGACTGCCCTCTGTCCCCAGGCTGAGCCTCCATGCACCACAGCCCCAGCCCAGCAGGCCCAGTGCGGCTCTGTCTCCCGCCTGCCTGCCGTAGGACTCCCTCTGGGAGGCCCTTCCCTGGCCCCYAGGACCTCAGGCCCTGGGTGGCCATCCACACGCCTCCGCCTGGGCTGTGGCAGTGAGGGCCTGGGGTGAGCTGGCTGAGGCCAGGAAGGCTTCCTGCAGGAGGAGGCCACCCCAGGAGCAGACAGATGCAGCCCATGCCCTCTTGTCCCTGCCCAGGGGCTGGACCTGCACCCTTCACAGCAGCTCCGCTGGGTGGCCTGAGGGAGGGCTGGACACTGCAGCAGTGCCAGTGCCACCTTGCAAGGCACAGGGGGAGGTGACAGAGGGCAGGCAGAGGCACAGCCCCACCAGGGTGTGGGGATCCAGGTGAAGCAGGGCATGAGGCCGGCGCAGAGGGTCCTTCCCAGCAGGGAGCTGGGCGGGGTGCAGGGTGAGAGCTGTGGCTCAGGAGAGCGAGCCGGGCAGCGGGGCCTGGCCCAGAGGAAGGGTTGCCCACAATGCTCAGGAACAGAGGGCGGGGACATCTGCTAGGGTCAGGTGGACAGGCCTGACTGCCCCTTGGCAGGGAGGAGGGCTCGGTTCCAAGGGTCATTTGAGGATGCTGAGGGCCAGAGTGGAGGAGGAGCAGCCGATGGGGAGGACAGGGCAGACGGACTGGAGCTGGGTGCAGCAGGGCACAGGGGTGAGACCTTGGTCCTGGGGTGTGCTAGCCAGGGAGGTGTCCAGCAGGGGTCTCAGCATGTGCACCACACAGACTCAGGCCCCTCGTGCCCTGGGCTCCTTCCTGCCCTCAGCCTGACCCTGCCCCTGACCCTAGCCCTGACCCTGCCTGTGCCTCCCGGAGCCCTTTCCACCTGCTGCGACCTCCAGGGACCCGTGTCCACCATGTCCCGCTGACCACCCTCCTGGGCACACACTGAATGTGTCCAGTGAGGTCCTAGGGCCACCCTGACCTCTCCCGTGCACCCAGGGACAAGGTGGCCTTGGAGACGCTGGTGGAGGAGCTGAGGGCCAGGGCGGATCTGGGAGAGGCAGAGCTGCAGGGGAGCCTCCTACGGAGGGCGGAGCAGGACAGGCAGAGCCAGCGGGAGCTGGAGGCCAGGTGGGCGGAGAGGACCGGCTCTGTGCCCAGCTGTGTGGCCTGGGGCCATCTCGTCCCTCTCTGGCCTCAGAGTCCATCCGCTGGGGGCCTGTTGCCTTACTTGTTGCACCGCAGGGAAGTGAGGGGCAGGGGGCTCTTCCCCGCCCGGCCCAGCCCAGACCAGCCCAGACCCCTGCCTCRGCCCAGAGTCTGCCCCTGGGGATATCCCCCTGTGGGCTAGCAGACATGGTCCTCCCCGTGAGTGCCCACCCCCCCCAGGCATGTGCCTGGGGCCACCCTGGGGAGACCCCAAAACCCCATGCTTCTCACAGGACTCTGTGCTTGGAGGGGCTGCTGGCGGTAGCCCTGCCTGTGGTCTCCTGGGCGTCCCCACTCACCCTGGGGCCACCTCACGCCTGGCCTGTTGTCCCTGACCTCAGACAGAGGCGCCTGCAGCAGCTGGAGGAGAAGGTCTCTGGGCTCAGGAAGGAGCTGGCCGTGGCCCGGGAGGCTCTGAGTGCCGCGCAGCTGCAGCGGGACCTAGTGGAGAGCGAGAGGGAGGGCCTGCGTGGCGCCCTGGCCCGGGTACGGGCCATGCCCCTCAGTGCCAGGTTCTCCCAGGCCTCACCCCCACCCTCTGCGTGCCCACCTGGGTCCCCGGCCGCCCCCCCACCAGGGATGCCTGCTTCCCAGGCTTCTCCCTGAGCCTGGTCTCCCCTCCGGCTGGAGCCTGGGTCGGGGCCACTCTCTGCCAGAGACCCCCACAAGGGGACTCCTCCACGTCCCGCCCAGGCCCAGCCCCCACAGCTGTGCAGGTGGGGCTCATTCTCTCCCAGCACCAGGGTTCTGCCGGGGATCTTCCAGTTCCTCCCTGAAATCCCTCTGGATGGCCACTGCCCGCAGGCTGAGTCCAGCCACGCTGACCTGGAACTGCTYGTGACACGGCTGAAGTCGGAGGGGGTGGAGCAGCGGGACTCCCTGGCCGCCATGGCGGCCCTGATGGAGGGGCTGGCCCGGGACAAGGGCTCCCTGAGCCACGTGGTACTCCAGGTGAGCGAGGGCCCAGCTCCAGGGCCTCCGCTCATTCACCCCCAGATCCTCTTCCTTCCYGACCGAGGCCCCTTCCTGAGAGCAGATGACGGGATGGACAGGGGCCTGAGCGAGGAAGGGCAGTGCCCCGGGCAGCCTGGGCAGAGTCCCTGCCTCGTGGGGCCAGGGTGTGTGGTGTGGGGCTGGTGCAGACGACTCCTTCTTCCCTCAGCTGGAGCAGGAGCGGGTCCAGCTGCGGGAGCAGCACAAGGCCCTGGAGCAGCAGCAGGGGGCTGCCCAGGAGCAGCTGGGGCAGCTGGGGCAGCAGCTGGCCTGCGCACGGGCAGAGCGGAGGGGCCTGCAGGAGGCCTGCGGGCGCCTGGAGCAGCGGCAGGAGCAGCTGGAGGGGCAGGTGACCCAGCTCAGGTGTGAGAAGGCCCAGCTCCAGGAGCAGGTGGACCAGGTGAGGCCGGGCTGTGGACAGGTGGCGGGGCCTGGTGGAGCCCGTGGCGCCAGGGAGTCAGCACCAGACTTTCCTCTTTCCTTCTTGGTACCGAGTTTGAACCCAGGTGCCTGGCCCCTGAGCCACATCCCAGCCCTTTTATTCTTTATTTTACAACAAGTCTCACTGATTTGCTGAGGCTGACTTTGAACTAGGAGTCCCCTGCCTGGGCCTCAGGTGTCACAGGTGTGCACTAGTGTACCTGGTCCCTGACATTTTGGTGTCATTCCCCCAGCCCCAGGTCCACTGTGACAGAGACCTGTGACACTTGTCTTTCTGAGTCTGGCTTCTTTCATTCAAACTGTCTCTTCAAGCCCCAGCATTTCTTCTGCTGGATCTAGTCTGTGGTGGGGCTTTTAACTGAATTCTCATTTGACTTATTGAGCTTCTCATTTCCAATATTTCTGTTTTGTTCTTTTTCAGAATCTCTACTTTTTATTAAGTTGGTTTTTATGTCCTGAATTGCCTTCCTGAATTCACTCAGTTGTTTATTTGCGTTCTCTTTAAACTCATCAGTCATTTTTTAAATTAGCCTTTTGAACCCTTTATCTTCGTGTATCTTTGGAGTCAGCCGTGGATCTTCTAGAGCCGTTAGCTTCTCAAGAAGCCGTGTTGTCTGGGTTTTCAGAGTCTTTGTGTCTCCGTGTTGAGATTCGTGCATCTGCTTGGGTGGAACCTCCTTCCGTTTCTGTGTGAGGGCTTCCTAATGAGCATGCGTCCAGGAGAGCCAGGCTGGGCACAGTGCTGAGCTCAATTCCAAATGGAGACCAGTGCGTTTCCCCGTGGTTGGGGGATGTCATCAGTGAGTTTTGACACACACATGCTGCGTTGGAACCTAAGTGACCCTGTGTGTCTCACAAGGTGGGAACCCTGTGGAAGTTCAGGCAGGTGTAGGCAGACAGTTGTGTGTATCAGGTCACTCTCTGGTCACTCCTCCAGACTCGAGCCGTCGGAAAGGGTGTGGGAGCCACCTCTGCTCCGGTCCCTCACGGTGTGGTGCCTCTTTGCTGTAGCTACGGGGTGAATGGCCAAGATGAGGACTTGGGGCTTCCCCAGCCCTGCTTACCTGGGGCAGAGACTTATCTCGCCTTCTGTTTAAGACAAATCATTCGCTCAGGTTTGAGCGGGGCTGAGTCATGGCTGGATTGAGACGGTTTCTTACAACTGGGCTGGGGGTGGAGGTCAGCACCAAATGCCTGCCACATGCTGGAGGCACTGGGCTCAATCTGCAGCCTGCTGAGAAAGAAGAACATGAATGAGAAGAACAACTGCTGGATCCAAACAAGCCAGGTATGGCAATGTCGTCGTAACAAAAACAGCCACCACCRCAGCGTCAGTGACAACAGAAAGGAGCAAAATAATACAGAATGAGCTGAAAAGTCGCTGATTAATAAAGAAAAAAAATTTAAGTAGCCTGGGCGCAGGGGTGGCACACACCTGTGACCACAGTGACTTGGGAGGCTGAGGCAGGAGGATCACAAGTTCAAGGCCAGCCTGGACAACATGGTGAGACCCTGCCTCAAAATATAAGTAAAATGAGTTGGAAAAGTAACTCAGTAGAATACTTGCCCAGCATCCACGAAGCCTTGATTCAATCCCCAGTAACACAGATCTCTCACACACACAATTTTTTAAAAAAGAAGAAAATAATACAAAAAAAAA